TTTTTTTTTGTCTATGGTCCAATCAATCAATCAATCAATCAATCAATCAATCAATCAATCAATCAATCAATCAATTAATCAATCAATCAATCAATCAATCGATTCGATGGGATCTTCGATCGATCGATCGATTGATTGATTGATTGATTGATTGATTGATTGATTAATTGATTGATTGATTGATTGATTGATTGATTGATTGAACAAAAATAAAATAAAAAGAATACGGGGCCTCATTCTCCTCCCCACCTTCTTCTTCATGCGGACACTCATTCACTATCGCCGTGGGCTCCTCCTCCTCCACCTCCTCCTCCTCCTCCTCCTCCTCCTCCTCCTCCTCCTCCTCCATCGTCGGTCCCTCCTCTTCTTCTTCCTCCTTCGCTTCTTCCTCATCCACTTCCCAGTCCTCCTCCTCCACCGCCTCGTCCTCTTCTTCTTCTTCCTCCTCTTAAGTTATCTCCCTCCTCTTCCGCCATCGCCGTGACCTCCTCCTCCTCCACATCTTCTTCGTCCTCCTCCTCCTCCTCGCCCTCTCCTTCTTCGTCGCCATCCTCCTCCTCCTCACCCTCTTCTTCTTCTTCTTCCTCCTCGTTGCGCCAGTCCTTGTCTAGAATGTCCCAGACCTTCTTCTTCATGCGGACACTCACTCGCCGTCGTCGTGGGCTCCTCCTCCACCTCCTCCTCCTCCTCCTCCATCGTCGGGCCCTCCTTCTCTTCTTCCTCCTCCGCTTCTTCCTCATCCCCTTTCCAGTCCTCCTCCTCCTCCTCCAACTCCTCCTCCTCCTCCTCCTCTTCTTCTTCTTCTACATTTTAGTGTCAAGAGAATGAAGCGTTAGACACCCAACTGCCTTAGTTGGTTGACGTGCGGGTGGCGTTCTTCAGTTATGGGACTTGACGGGACATGCAGGAGGATGAACAAAAGATCTGATTGGCAGGAGTCAATCTCGTATGCAAGTGCGCTCTTCTCCTGCAGTTGGTTTGTGTTCAGATTGACAAGTGATTATGGCACCACGGTTACAGTGTGGTGGAGGAAGAGAATTTAGAGGATGGAGAAGAAGGTGGAGGAGGAGGAAGAAGAAGAGGAGGAGGAAGAGGAGGAGGAGATGGAGGAAGAGGAGGAGGAGGAGGAGAAAGAGGTGGAGGAGGAATACAAGGAGGAAGAAGAGGAGGAGGAGGGGGACGAGGAGGAGGAGGATGACGACGACGACGAGGAAGAAGAAGAAGAAGAGGAGGAGGAGGAGGAGGAGGAGGAGGAGGAGGAGGAGGAGGAGGAGGAAAAGGAGGAGGAGAAGGAGGACGAGGATGTGGAGGAGGAGAAGGAGGACGACGACAATCAGGAAATGGAGGAAGAGGAGGAGGAGGAGACGAGGAGAGGAGAAGCGGAAGGAGGAAGACATGAGAAGCGGAAGGAGGAGGAGGAGGGAGGGGTGAAGGAGGAGGAGGAGGAGGAGGGGGAGAAGGAGAAGGAGGTGGACAAAGGGAAGTTGGCTCACCTGGCATGGGCGGGGGATGGCGCCTGGGGTTGTGGTCGTCGACGTCGAAGTTTGGCAATGGCAAAACCGAACTCCGGCGACAGCTCGGGGGCCAAGACGAGCGGGTGAGATCGCTAGGGCGCCCAATTTCGAATTTCAAAATGGCCTGATTTGGGTCGTCGATCTCGCAGATCTAACGGCCCACATCAGGCCGTTTTGTTTTTCGATTTTGGAGGCCTCCAACACATCTTCCCATCGGTGCCCCCGTTTCGCCAGTCCCAGCAGTCTACCCCTCTGCCGCCCAAACCCTAGTCCTGGACTCACCCGATTTTTTTTCCAGCGATCGGACGTAAGGGCCCTGGCGGACGGCCGACCGGTTGTCCGATCGGACAGTCCTGGACGGCTGTGTATCCGAAACCACGTTCAACGGGGGTTTCGAGTTGAACGGTTCAACTCCCGTTGAACTCCCGTTTCAACTCCGCGTTATACCCCGTTACAACGTGGTTCACCTCGACCCGCGGATATTTTTTTTGCAGGCAAAACATAAGTCAAAAAAAAAATAAAAAAAAATGGGGGTGAAGATTGTTTTGGTCTCTACATCCCCATATTTTTATTTTTATTTTTTGAGCATTTAAATTATTTGAAAAAAATCAAAAACAAAACCAGACTCAAAACACATA